ACTGCCCTTTGTCACCTCCCCCCGTATCACCCCAGGCACTCAGCACTCCCCCACGACAGTACGCCGAAGCGTGCCGCCACACCGGCCGAGTCGAGTTTTACTGACTACCATCCCTGTGAGGCAATTTACCAAAACTTGCTATGGCTTAGCCGGTTGGAAGCGGTTGCAATGATGCTGTGGTGGGGCGAGGGTAAGGGTGGATGAGGGAGGGTCGGTGTTGCTTAGAATTTAGAGGGAAGGGAAGGTTGTGATATAGGGGAGAGGATGAGGTTACTGTGACTGTGATGGAGCTGGGTCCTTGCTTGGAGGCGGGAAGGGGCTGTGTGGAAGGGAACTACATCATCCAGACAAGAACCCCCGTAACCTACGTGCGACTGCGAGTCTCGCACGCCCCTCCTTCTCCCTCCCCCCGCTTTCTGCCTCCCCTCCCCGCCTTCTCCCTTTTCCGACGAATATTGGTTACCCCTTACGATGTACAGGAAGCCAGCTTGCTTCGTAAGCAGAAGCATCAGCATTCTCCTCTTCGTGCAGTGTTTCGCCACCAGCAACCTCCCTTGCCTCTCCCCAACTTCCCCAGGCTGTGCACTGCCTTACTGCGGTCGGTACAAGATTGTCGTTCTGGACGGTGCCACAGTGGCGCATTCCATTCCCGAGCTTTGTGGGGGCTGCCAGGACGCTGGTCCGGTGGTGGTGTTGTTGTCTGTCGTGCGTTTGGTGTCCTGGATTTTGCCTTCGGGGGGTGCTGGTAGCGAGACCATCCGCCCCGAACCCATGCGTGCTCCCTATGTACCACAAGCTGTGCGAAATGCGTAATTTCGTCAGATTGCGACACGAATTTACTACAAATGCTTAAGCCAGCTTCACTTAAATCCGGTAATTAGACATGTTTCGAGACCACGTTTAGAAAGGCCCGTGGAATTACGTTTAGGAAAGTTTCGAAAACTGCGTGGGTAAAATTTTCTTTAATAATAGTAGTAATAATAATAGCAGTGATAATAATAATAACAGTAACGATGACAATAATAATAATAATGACAGTAATAATGACAACAATAATAGTGACGATAATAATAATAATAATAATAATAATAATAATAATAATAATGATAATGATAACAATAATAATAATAGTAATAATAATGGTAATAATAATAATAACATGAGTAATGGCGATAATCACAGCAGTAACAACAATAATAATAAAAATAACAATCACCTGTCCAATTGCATTTGTGCGAAACTGGTCCAAACGATAGAAATAAAAGTAAATTTATGCCACAGCCTGTCGGGATTATGTGCGTTTGATGCAAAATTGAGGATATGCATGGTGAATGTACTATGTTTTCAGGAGTGAACTTCTGCCTGTGCTTGTTCGTAGCGCCTTACAGAAAAATGAAGGAACGCAGAACGCTTAACCAAGCGGCAGCGTAACAATTCAGGTACTGCTAGTCATGCTACTCAACGAGTACACACGCACATATATATATACATATATATATATGTATATATATATAAATATATGTATTATCCCCATCCATGAATGAAGGATATTGTACAGAACTATCGCGACCTTTAATGGTTATGCGTTAGACTAGTGTGCACGTCCTATGTGTATGTGCATGAGTGTGTGAATAGTCAGCACCTAGTTATACATATTTATAATTACATACAAGAAACTAAATTTATAAAATGTAAAGCGAAATAGGGGGAATAAAAAACAGTGGCGAGTTTCTGGGGAGCCGAAGCTCTCTAGAACGTAGTTGTGTGAAGAAAACAGCAACTGTGGATGCCGAAGATGGGGAGAAGTGCTTTTATACTTTGGTGGTCACAAATCACAATAATTGGCCAACGCACGGGCTGCCCGTGCGAAAATGCGCTTTTTGCATAGTTCCCCGCAGTTTTTGTTGCTACCGGCATCGGTCTTTTCGGCAAATGCTTCTAGCTAAACAAACTAAGACTGGCCGCCAGAACTGGCAGGGAACACCCACTTAAAATTTCAGCTTTCTAGCTTTCCTGGCTCCTGAGTTAGCAACTTACTGGAAGAAAACTTTCACG